ATGATGACACACCATTCCTCAGGATATAGTACAGGCACTAAGTCAGAGATGTCTGTATGGTGCTGTGTCTCCAATACACAGGATACATGGATCTGAGAGCCAAGGGGTGAGAGCAAAAATGGCCTCATTTATAGCCACTCCCACTGGGGAACTTTGTTTCACTTCCTAGAACTCCGGGCTGAACAGAGTTAGAGATCCTAGTTTTCAAAGCTTTTCTCCTTTTGCCAGGGGTCACAGCAGTGATCCATTAAAGTGCAAGCTATCTAGTACTAGGGCACTTTTAACTTTTTGCATTCAGGGGACCAAGCAGGAATAATTGACTCTCATTAGCAGGAAGAGATGGGACTGCTTTTACACAGTGGAGACAGGAAGAATACATGTGGAACCCTGGTGATCTACTTGCATGCCTGTGGGTATTTCCTTGCCCAATGGTAACTGTGAATGGATGCATGCAGAAACCCCAGAGTAAGAAGGGTGTGACAACCAAAGTCTAAGACCTCTCAGGAATGACTGTTTAGGTAGTATGACCAGGTAAGTCGACAAGATCTGCGGAGGCCATAGCTGAGAGGGGGATATGGAGTACACAGTGGAGGACAGAATAAGTAACACAATAGCCCAAAACAAACTGCAATAAGAGTGACTATAGTTTTTGCCATTAATCTCCCCTTTCCAAGTTTATCCTTAGAAAGGGAGGTTCACTGGAATCATGGAGGAGCATTATTATGAACTGATGGAGAGTTCCCAGCTGAATCGCTTTGGGATCCACCAGAAAGTTTGCACCAGGCCAAGCTTTTCTTTGCACTCCCTTCAGACAATGACTGAGCACAGTACCAGAACTGGGCTGTTCCTGATCAATTCTGGATTCCTGTAATGGACTTGAGCTCAGAACTCCCCAATGGCCTGGCTGAGACTCTCAGAATTACACTGCAATCTGGGGCTCTTTCCATTCATTCTTCCTCTCCCGTCTGCTTTCCCAGATTCCAATATGCATTCTGATCTGACTCTGATCTGAGTCTCCCTGCCTCTCTTCCTTCCTCTCCTTTTATCCTTTAAAGGCATTTTCTCTAATCAATCTCTAGCACATCTAACTCTTTGTTGGTGTTTGCTTCTCAGACGACTGTAACTGACAGTGTTACTTTTGAATTCAGCAAAAGAAAATTACACACATATGCACCCACATAAGGTGATTAGAATGAATTAAGGAAGATCTTCAGTGGAAAAAGTTAGAATATAACCTTCCCTTTAGTTTCTAATAGAATTCTTTCAGAGGCCAAGAATTGCTCTGATTTTATTGTCAGCTATTTTTTAAATTCCTCCAAAAATATGTATGAATCTAAGAATAACTCTGGCAGCTGGGTTAAGACCAATCTGATATATGTTGATTTCACAACTGCAAATCTGCATATTAAGCAGGAATAGAGTGAAACCACCACTTGTACTTTAGCCCTAATGTTTCATTCAAGCACAGAGCCTTTGTATGGTAACTCTGAGAGGAAGGCCCTAATGTGAAGAAATGTAAAAGTTCTTAAGAAGATGTAATGCATGTAGTAGTGTTACATTAGGCAACCAGAAAATTTCATTACATGACAGAATTCAGATAGAAAGTTTCAAAAAGGAGGTGAGAGATGGTGAGAGAAACAATCTTTTAAGGGGGCAGGGAGGAGGACTGGAAAAGAGCTGCTTAATAGAAAAGGCACTTAGCACAAAGGCACTAGGCTGAGTCCAGAAGAGAGCAACACCGTCAAGCCAAAGACTGGGTGCTCTTGGAGAATGGCCTCAACATGTTTAACTACAGGACACACACACGGTAACCTATGTATTTGTCCAGAATAAATAAATAAAGCCTAGTTGCCAGAGAGAAACAAAAATGACATAATCCTAAGAATGTAGTTTTAGGAAGAGAATTGTAGTATTTCCTCTCCTCATCCCATCTTGTCAAGGGCCAAGGAAAAGATACTCCCTGGTGGAAAAGGTTGAGGAGGCTTTGAGTGTTCTAAATCTATTTCATCAAAATCACTGACCATGTTCATTATTTCTAATTCACACAATCTCCTGAAAAATGATGGCACACATAGCTAGGGTAACCTTCCTGATATTGAAATGCCTCATTGTGGTTCTCTAGGACCCTGAATAATCGGGCATCATCCTATCCATCCAATGTACCTTCCCCTTTCTTCAATATACCCTGACTACTCATCAGACTGGTCTTAGCACACCACACTCTTATCTGTCTAGGGGAGGACAAATTCTCCTCTACCCTCTTTGGGTGTCTAGCTTTGTTTAAAAATTAAATTGACATAAAACAGCTTAACAGGCAAAAACATACAAGTTTTATTAAAATTTCTTACATGTACACAGAAGACTTCAAAAGGGAAAAAAGACCCCTCCCCTTCAAAAGAATGGTCAAACCTAAATGTTTTTATTGTAGGTTGAACAAAGAGGAGCAATTGTGGGAAAGTAAGTAAATATGTGGAGAGGCTAAAAAAGTTATTTTAACAAATTTTGTTTGTACAGATTTCCTTCCGCCTCAGTTCCCTGATTCTCTGTCTCTGGTGATAAGAATGTCTCCTTTCCTCCAGGGATAGGGAGGGCACCTTCTACTCGAAAATTTTATCTTCTACTTTCAGGGATAAAAGGGAGGGTCAGAGTCCTCTTCTAGCATCTGCTGTTTCTCAAGTGACCATAAGTTAAAATAATCAATATGCCAATGCAGATTTTGAGGGGACATGCTGTGAACTCCTTTACCTGTCTGTTTCCTTTATTTGTAAGGTCCACCTGTTCTCTTACTCATTTCTGCCAGCCTCTCAAGTTTTGTCCTTATTCTAGCATTTACCCTGTGCTAAATGCAAGAGCACCTCATGGGGCTCTTGCCATATGCATTACATATGTGTTACTTTCAAAATATGCCCACTTGTGTTGTAAATTTTTATTAAATATATTTATCTCACCAACTAGACTGCAAACTCCTTAATACTTGACTCATTTGGTAAATATCCTCAATTGCAGAATTTTAACACTCCATTATTTTAGATACTGAGACTGGTATGCAGACTGTCAGCCAATGCTCTAGTCACCCCATATGCCAAAAGTATCAGAGTTAATGAGAACATTGAAGTATACTAAAATTGAGTGCTTACTATACAATGGGCTTGATTCTAAATTCCTTATATATATATTAATTTACTTAATTCAGCACATGGGCACCATCCTTTAAGGCTTTCTTTTTATTAAGACCCCTATTTAATCCATCCAATTCTATTGGCTCTACCTTCAAAATAGAGCTGGAATCCTCCCACTCTTCACCAAATTCACTGGTACCATTCTGATTCCAGGCCCTATCATTTCTTTCCCAGATTATTGTAATAGCCTCCTAATAGTATTTTCAAGACTGTACAGTATAATCCTTTCAGTGTTAAATCTCGTATCTATATTCAAAACCCTGCAATGGCCACCTACCCACTTCAAAGTAAACTCGTTTATGACAGGTAAGATCCTGTATGACCTTCTTTGGCCTGTCATCACTGGAACTTCACCTTCCACCACTCTTGGTCTAGCTCACTCTGTGCTCCAGCCACACTGGGTTGTTCTAAAAACTAACAAAACAATGCACTGTAGGGGTTCAGTATGAGTCACCCCCAGATATGCTCTGTAGTACAAAGGTAACTTTTAAGCGAAAGGCAGCTGTGATCCTGTGGCCTCAATGGAAACTTCTGCCCAGCCCCCCTTAACTACCTAGAAGAATTGAATTAGGGACCTTGTCCACGATGGCATAGATTATCATAGACAAACTTTTTAACCTATTTTCTCATACTATCAAGGCAAACTACTAATTACTGAACATCTGCTGCTCTTAAGAGTGCGGCAACGACCCTCTGAAGTTCCAAGGTGCCTTACTTCGTTTTTAGCATGACCAGGTATACCTCACTTTTCCTTGACCCTGAAACTCACGTGGGGTCTCCAATTCTCTCATGTATGTGGTGTTCCCATATGTAGGTATGCAATTATATTTCTCTTAATGTTTCACATAGATTTAGATATTAAACCCCGAAAAACTTTCTACCTCCCACCACAGCCCCTAGGATCTTGGCTATAGTTTTTTTCTGAGCAGTGGGGCACATCCCAGTTTTACACAGCTAACTCTCCTCCTTTAAGCTGGTTCAACACTCACCTTATTAACAATTCCTACCTCGATACTCTCTTTAATTCTGCAATTTGCCCTTCCAATTCCTTCTTGATTCCTCTCAATCTGTCTTATAGTTGTTACCACTTTTTAAAGTACTGTATAATTTTTTTAGCTGTGTATTGTCTGAGCCTTCCACTTCCATATAAACTCCATCAGGGGACTGATCTTTGTCTTCTTCATGGGATGTATCCCAAGAGCCTAAACAGTGGCTGGTGAGTGAAAGGCACTGAATAAATACTAGGTGAACGAATTTAGAAGCTAGATTTTCTTTCTGAAAGGTCGCTGCGCTTTGGTGATAAGCCTTAACCGGTTTCTCAGTTTTCACATTACACAAAGGCCAAAACCACAGCAAGTCTAGGGGTGTCCAGGCTAGCTGCAGATTTAGGCCTGGAGGACAGAGATAAACGCTAAAAAGCTAAAGGGTGAAGTTAGTTATCCAGAGTGGCTGATAAAGAGCAAACTTACTCTCCCTTTGCATATCCATAATTGCTTCAACTCTCAACAAGGGTGGCTTTGAACATTCTCATACTTAAACAATTCCAACACCACTGTGTTTGTAGGGTGCCACGCGGTCTTTGCCCTTTTCCTGGTAGCTTCATTGCCCTTATTTAGGTGGTTAGGCCGCGCCTAACCACCATGTTTTCTGAGCCGGGACGTCCCTCGTCCATGGGCAAGGCACCAAATACGGCGTATCCTCCCCTGCCCGGTGTTCCTCAGACAGCCGCTGCGGTCGCAATGCCCGCCCCCGAACAGGCAGCGGGAAGAACACCTGCCCGAGGCCCCGCGGTGGGTCAAACTGGGCGCGGCTTCCATTACGTCACGGCTCCCGCCCGCCGCACGCACGCGCACTGCGCCCAGCATGAGGGTTGCAGCTCTGATCAGGTAATGTGGCATACGTGCCGCCTTCTTCTTCCCTGGACACCCTGCAGTCCGTTTCTGCTAATGGGTGGGAAGTGCCGCTGCTGTTGCCACTGCCACTGCCGCGGGGGCCGCGACTAGCGGCCTAAGGCTGTCTGTGTAGGAGCCGCATGTTGGGGTTTAAATGGCCCTTCCGGACCTCGGGAAGAGGCGGAGCCTTTGGGCTTCTGCTGTTCCCTGCTGGTCTCGCGGTCTTGGGCTCCTGTCCAAACTCACTGCGGGCCTCCGCCCCTCTGTTCTTGCACTCGGACTTGGATTTGCATTGGATTCACCTGGGAAAAACTGCTGATGCCTGGGTCATACCGCCAGAACGCTGGTTTAATTATACCCCCTCACTCCGGGTTCTGATTCTTAAAAACTGTAATGATGGACAGTGAAGTTTGGTAGCCCCAGCCTGATTTTATTCAGCTACCCACAGTTCTGGCTTTTTTCGTCCTAATCCCTTAAACCTGTCCATCCCGTCGTCCAGGTGCTGCTTATCACCCTAGGCTGTTAATATCTCGCCCCTTCCTACATAAATCCATCTCTCCCTCACCTGCCTCCCAGGTGTATCTGGATTGCTTATGATAGGGATGTAAACTTGACGCTCAAGGGCAGTGACGTAATTGTACCAGTTTTACCCTAGATTTGGTTGCTGTTGCTTCAGACACATTTCCTTATAGAGTGACCTTATAGTAACACTTCACATTACAAAAGGAGTTTAAAAATTACAGTAACCCATCATATTTAGGTGTCTAAATTAAGTCCTTTGACAACCAAAGACAGATCAATAAAAATGTTTCCATACTTAGTCTGTAAACTGAAGCAAAGGGAACACTAACATTAAAAAGGGAATTTGAGCTACTTGAATTTTGGTGACATTTGGATCTCCATAGTGTGTCTGAGCTACGTTGCAACCATGCGTTTTTCTTTGTAAACTCATTGAAGATTTAATGTTATTGTTCAATGCCGTAGGTAATTGCCACTGATAAGGTCCTGACATAACACAAACCCTTTCTGGAGTGACTGGAATATCCCAGTTTCTGTTATTTCAATGCCATTTTTACACGACTAATGTCAAAAAGTGCCTTTATTCAGTGAATTTTTTCTGTACAGTGAATAAGTCAGCTTTGACCATTGTGGTCTTCATTTGATCTAGATAAGAATTAAAATTAGTCAGGAAATGAGTAATTCACATCCAAATGCAATTTGTCAAAAGTTTAACCATTTAAAGACACACTAACTGAAGACTTAGAAATGTGGGAGGGAAGAAGATTGACGTAATTGATTACACTAAATATTCTGTAATGTGTGTGTATTACTTTTATAATAAAGCGAGTTACAAAAGACGTTGGAAAATTCTTGAACTGTAAGAACTGCATAAATGTTAGGTGACATGCTATAGATATGAATATATAATTACATATGAATATGAATACCTACATACTACCTGTATATGCATTTATGTGCATATATATATACTTGAATGTGTGCAAAGTGAAATACAGTGAACCTACTGTAGTTGTAGTATATCCTGTGTGTGTGTAGACTAAACTGAGAGACAGGATGTGTGTGTGTGTGTTTTAGTGAATAGGTGAAACCATAATCCTTACATATCCTTAGACCATGAAAAAATTATTTTTTAACACACTAAAGATTTTATTGAATTTTAGAGTTGAATGACACCTTGAGGATTAGCTAGGCCATTCACTAATTTCATAATGAAATATGTAAACACAAGCTGAGTGATTCAGCTTAGTATCCCAGAGTCAGAAACAAATTCTGATCTTCTATTGGACTTCTTACATAACATATTCTAATGTACTTTGTGACATTTGAGGAGGTAAGATGCTCTGTATTTCCCCAACTTCTTTGATCTTGAAAACTGTTATTCTTAGAGTACCAGGTAGACAGAAGTGTTCCACAGAACACAATTTGGGAAATACTATTTTAAAACCATATTTAAAAGCATATTTTAAAATAAATTACAAGGCTAAGTTCTGATTGAGGATGTATATCATTTAATCTTTAATACTGTAAGGAATTAGAATTGTGCAGGTATAACCCTTAATCTTAAATAGTCTGTATATCCTAAGAATGAGTTCATTTTGTCCTATGGAAATTGAGCAGTGAGATTCAACAGAAGGAGCTGTGGAAGATGGGTTTATGGCAATTTCAGAATCTGAGGAAAGGGAGTGTGATGTGTAACTTCACTTTACCCCTTACAGATTCTGCCCTTGATAAGTTCTGGAATGATAGATGTTACTGATTAGGACATCTATAATGTAGTAGAGGCAAACAATGTTGGGAACTAGAAAGGCCAGCTTTTAGAATAAAAAGTCAGTTTTGGGGGGAAGTGAATAGGTCTGAACATTTCCTGAGTATACATTTGCAGCTCTCAAATATTGAAAGGAAGGGAAACAGGAGGAGCAAAAAAGGGAAAGAGGTGCAATAATAAAAGAATGGAAGAAACGTGTGGTGGGAAACAGTAGAGCAGAGGTGTCCAACTCATCTTCACCGGGGGGGCCACATCAGCCTTGTAGTTGCCTTTAAAGGGCCGGATGTAGTTTCAACTCCTTAACAGTTAAGGAGTAGTTACATTTATGCAGTCCCACAATTATTTCGGCCCTTTGAAGACAACCTCAACGCTGACGGCTGGCCCTGGTGAAAATGAGTTGGACATTCCTGCAGTAGGGTATGAAACCCAAATAGCATAGCTTGCCATTCAACCTTCTTATAGGTGAAGTACCACTTGTCTTAACTAAGTTATTTACTTCTCTACCTTGGGCAGATATGTTATCAGAATTTGTAAGTTCTTTTCAATCTATTCATTAGATTTTCGCTCAGACCTTTTGCTGCCATCATATAGGGGTGGCTGAAAGCTGAAGTACCAATAGATAGTACTGATGCTTAACTTACCACTATAATTTAACATTTTGTTCTCTATCTCTACACAATTTGAACCTACCAATTATGTCATACTTTGTCATTAGATTGGATCTCAAATTTTTAATTTGATCCTTTAATGGTGATGGAGCCCAGTTGTTAGATTTCTTACAGTGGAACAGATATTTTTCTGCTTTTTCATAAGGGAATTCCATTTAAAGAGTATATATAGTAAGTGTTCAGCTGGAATGTAAACTTAAATCATTTTATTTGCAAAACACTATATTAAGTAAAGCTATTGTACTATCACAAATCAGAGAGTTATATTTTGTTTAGAATGGTCTTTGTTAGAATGGCATATAATTTCATAAGCTCTCATGAATAAATACTAGGAATAAAAACCTTAGAAATTAAGATTCATTTGTTCAATTTGCTTATGCTATGGAAATTGCATGTGATGTTTTGCATTCTAAATGTAAGATAGTCCCTCAGCCCTGACTGATGTGGCTTAGTTGGTTGGGTAACATCCAGCAAAGCAAAAGGTTGCCAGTTTGATTCCCAGTCAGCACACATGCGTGGGTGTTGGGTACTGTCCCTGTTCAGAGTGCATACCAGTGGCAAACGACATGTTTCTCTCCCTCCTTCCCCCTCTAAATATAAATAGAACTATCTTTTAAAAAACAAATGTAAAGTAGTCTCAGATATTCTGAAAAGCTGAATAAATAATGTATTCTATTTTGATAGCTCATGATTCTGTGTTGAATAATGGTCAGTAACCAATACTTACCTCTTTTTCAGTGGAGGGAAGGACAGCTGTTACAATATGATGCAGTGCATTGCTGCTGGGCATCAGATCGTTGCTTTAGCAAATCTAAGGCCACCTGAAAACCAGCGTAAGTGTATAACTTTACTGGAAATTCTCAAAATGACTGAAAATTCAACTTTATTATTGTATTCTATTGTATATGTATGGTATGCAAAAGCATAAAAGGAACTAATATATCTTTAGCACTTATTAGATGATAAGTTCAATGCTAAGTGTTTTCAATTATAATTTCTTTAATCTTCCCAAGAGCTCCTGGAGCATATTATTCGACAGGGATACCAAGGCTCAGAGTTTTATAAATTTGTCCAAGGTAAAATAGCTAGAACAAGCTTGCAGGGCTGAGACTTGAACTCTCAGTTTGGAGTGCACTGCCATTCCACCACAACACATTTCCAACTGTTGCAGGGAATATGCAGGTAAATAAAATGAAGCCTCTAGGAGCTTGGGAAGAGACACATACATTGATAAATAATAATAATGTATGGGTTTTATTATTAAAAAGATCCAGTTTAGCCATCTTATAGGTTGTTGCGCGTGGGTCACCGGCCAGCAATGACCACGGAACGCTGTGGATGGCTCGACGATAAACACGTGAGAAAAAACGACACATGCACAGAGACAGACTAGTTTCTGTGGGGAAGTAGGGGACGAAATGGCCACCCCCCCTAGTGGGGGAGCGCCTGATTTACCGTCCATACCTGCTTTTATTAGGCTCATTTTGCATAATAATTCAGGTAAAGTACAGTACTCATTAGGGGAAGTAAGGAACTATAGAAAACAAAGAACTCTGCCGGTCTATTGAGTTGGGGGGTCAAAGAGCTGTAAGACTGAGGAACAAACTAACTTCCTCCTAAGACCCTTCTCATTCAACTGAGAGCATTCTAAACAAAGGAGGTTTCACAGTAATTTACATATTCTTTCTTAGGCCTGATCACCCTGGGGAATCCGCACTTCTCAGTACCGAGCTGCACCACCCTGTCATTGTTTCAGGCTTAGGTGGAGCAAGGGAACTAAGGCAACCAAGAGATAAGGAGATTTTCTCCCAGACAATGAGAACTCAGGCTATGTCAGAGCCGAGGAGCGAGGGTCCATCACCCCCTTTTGCTGCAGCCCCCCAAGTCCTTCTTTTGGGGGGGCCTCCCAAAGTGATCGTGCCTGGCTTAGGTCGTTCCCCCCGTGGGGAATCTTACCCGTCTTTGGCTAACCGACCAAGCTTTTTGGGGGTTCAGTTATGAATAAAGCAGCAGAAGCAGCATTCCTGCCAGGGAGATAAGCTTTTATCTCCTTGCCGGCTTACGGTTCCAAGGGCGTTCCCTTAGCCTTAGCTAGGTGGGGGTTTCAGCCTCTGATACCAGTCAGGGCGGTTCCCAACAATAGGTAAGCTAAATGTGTGAGATGTAATTCACTTTTAGTTTTTGTCTGTGGGGACAACGGTATCCATAAGTAATCCACAGACCTCATTCTAGCTACTTTTTTCAAATTACTCACCAATGAACTTCCCCAAGTTAGAACTTTTTTGCCCTCCGTGTCCATGTCTGTGTCTAAATTTCCTTTTTAAAAAGTGTTTAAAAAATTATTTATTTATTTATTTATTTTTAGAGAGAAGAGAAGGGAGAGAGAGGGAGAAAAACATCAGTGTGTGGTTGCCTCCCATGCGCCCTCTACTGGGGACCCGGTCCACAACCCAGGCATATGCCCTGACTGGGAATTGAACTGGCCGAGCTTTGGTTTGCAGGCTGGTACTTAATCCACTGAGCCACACCAGCCACGGCTGAATTTCCTTTTTTAATAAGGACACTGGTTATATTGGATTAAGGGTCTACCCTAATGACTTCATCTTAACTAATTATATCTGCAGATCCTATATCCAAATAAGGCCACATTTTGAAGTACTGGATATTAGGACTACAAGGCAAGAATTTGGGAGGGATACATTCAACTTCAACAGTATCTTACATTAATTGAGGTATAATTGCATGTGATGTTTTGCATTGTAGTCATTTTAGGTGCCCAGCATAATGATTTAGCATTTAGTGATTTAACATCTCACTATAGTGAGATGATTATCACAAGTTTAGTTAATGTCCATCACCACACATAGTTACAGTTTCTTTCCCTATTAAAACTTAAAAGTAATCACCAATATTTTAACTGCTAAAATATAATAGGGAGAGATGAATACTTATCTAAGTTTATTTGTTACTACTTCTTCATATAGCTGTTCAAGTAAAATCTTTTTCATTCACTTTACTCATTTTATTTGTAGACCCCCATGCTTTTTCTCCACTGTTATTTTAGGATAAATTTAGTGAGCAGTACATATGAAAACCCTAATCATTGTTCCTGGCATAAAACAGACATCCAGTAAATGTAGTTGAATATAAAGGTAGCTCTAAATCAGTCAGTTAACCCTCCGTTTCTCCCTCCCTTCCTTCCTCAAATCTGCCAGTCTACTGAATTTTTGAAATAATATTTTATAGTTGTTTTCTATTTATTTTGTCTTGCTTTTTAAACCCAGATAGATTGCTTGTAAGCTTCTTCAGAGGAAAAGTCATATCTTCTATGCTCCTTTAATTGTTCCACAGCACTTGGGACAGCTCGATGCCTCTGGTAGGCATTAACTCAGGTTCTTGGTGGACAGATGAATAATGAAATAACTGGAATTAGCCCTGAAGTAGACAGGAGTTACAGCCAGCAGTTATTTGTCTGAGATTTGAATTTTCTTTCCTTCTGTGATTAAAACCATGTAATGCTGAAAGTGAAGTGAGAAGATGGAGATTAAGAATGTTTTATAGGAAGAAATAGAACAGGTTCTATAGAAGGTCAGGATAAACATACACTCCAGGATTTTTTACTGGGGTTCCCATGTTGAATAATAATGGCCTTTTAGAAGTGAGCTGTTTTGTAAATACCCTCCAATTTCTGTTCTTTAAATAATAAAGAGAAAACTCTGACTAAGGGTGAATGGGAACTGTGCTGTAACTTTTGTATTATAAAGGAAGGAGCAGATTTTTTTGCAGGCTATGTTCTGTTACCAAAGGAAAGTGACTCCTCTATCCCTTGTGGTCAAGTGGGTTTTTGGGCAAGTGGGTTTTTTAGCCTTTCTGTATTGAAAGGTCTTGGTATTTAAAAAGCAGACATTTACATAACATATATTATATACTTGATCTAATCATGGAATTTCTATCTTGTCTTTAACTTTCCTATGTGAATTGTTGCACTTACCTTGTCCTGAATGATTATTGCGTAATCTTCCATGGGTTACTGGTTTATTGGCAGGGTGGGTAAGATGACAAGCAAGTTATATTTTTATATTTCAGTGGAATGGAGACATTTATTTACAATATTGCTAGGGAGAAATATTCAATAGTAAATGGAATTGGAATATTATGGAGTAAAAGTTGGAAAGAGTCAGCTGAAACTATAGTAATTGTCGTGGAAGGGAATAGATGACTGTGGGTTTGGAGATGGAGAGGGTTTAGCTAATCTTTATTTAAAGTCAGCAGGAAGTTGGTGATTATTGAATGATTCATGGAATGACTTAATTTCCACCCAAACATGTTGCAAAAGGGCCCTTAATGAGGAACGATTGGTAGAGATGACTCCAGTGAGAAGCTGATTAGAGGGAATTCATTGTACTGTGTTTTCAGTAGGTTGTCTGGAAAGGAATCATCCCCATCAATGAGGATAATGTGAAGTTGTCATAAAATTCATAAAACCATCTCTTCATATTTGTAGTAGGAACTTTTGTGGGATGTTAATTGAGGTGCTTCAGGCAACAGTGGAGCCTTTTGGTTTTATTTGATCTCATACCATTGGTGCTATGTGGCTTCCATTAATAAAAGTAACAGTGTGGTTAGGACTGAATGGAGCCTTAAAGGAAAATGGCCTTCTAGAAGTCAGTAAAATGTTTCAGTTATTGTGCTCACATCAGGAAGTTTCTTGCTAAGAAGCTCAAAGTTCTTTATATATATTAATTTGGTTATCAATATTTTTACAAACTAAAACATTTAAAGATTCAGTCTAAGTTTGAGATGAGTGTAGGCAGAAAAATTTTGTGGTAGCTTTGGTTGTATGTCTACTTCCTACTGAGGAACACAACCTGAGATTGTGTCACTAATTAGCTTAAGTTATGCTTCTGTACACCTTTGTAACTGCTTTAACAATATTGAATTTATTTAGGTTGTTATGTTGTGAAGTGCTGAATATAAAACATAGCAAGAGCATCTGAATTTTTCAAAATGTTTGTTACTTATTAACTAAGTAGATATTTAATTGGGAAAGATTTTCTGCTACAACTCAGTGATTTTGTGAATAACCTGGAATGAATTAAACATTTATATAATAAAATCTTTAATTGAATAATTAAGTTTATTAGATAGATTTCTCTTTAAATATGTATATAGTTTAAAAATTATTATGTATAATTGTATTTGTAATTAGCTGTAGAGATGAGTAATACTAATGTGAACTCGATACAACTAAGGGTAAATGTATAACTCATGCTGTTTTACTTCATGAATGCAGAGAGATACAGTGCAGTAGGCTTTTAAGTTATATGTTAACTGCTCTCCAAGTAGTAAAACCTAGATGGACTTTCAAATCCACCTTTTTTCACCCTGTTTTACTGATTGTTTCCACTTGAACTGTTACAGTGGGGTCAGATGAGCTGGATAGCTACATGTATCAAACAGTGGGTCACCATGCCATTGATTTGTATGCGGAAGCAATGGCTCTTCCCCTCTATCGCCGGACCATAAGAGGAAGGAGTGTGGATACAGGACGAGTATACACCAAATGCGAAGGTGATGAGGTTGAAGACCTCTATGAGCTTTTGAAACTTGTTAAGGTATGCAGAGTGGCCAATTACATTCACTGAATTTAATGTGTAATTTAGAAAATTGCATTTATTGACCTATTTACTGATAAAAAATATTGTAACTGCTAGTAGCCCAACTATTCTATGAAAGGATATTTTGGGTTTTGTTTTTGTTTTTGAATTGAAAATAAAATCATTACTATGCCTTTGTATTAAATAGTATTTAAAAATAAAACTTTTGATATAGTTTGGCACCGAGGGTTGTCAAATGATATTTAACTAAGTTTTTTGTTTTCTTTAGCATTTTGAAGCTGATGACCTTTTTATCAAATGCTTTTTGAATACACACTGTGTGCGTGACACATAGTTCTAGGAACTGGGGAATGGGACAATGAACAGATCAGACATAGTCCTGTTCTGCTGGAGCTTACTTTCCAGTGGAAAGAGATAGGCAATAAAAAGCAAGCAAGTAAATACTGTGCTTGGTGGTGAAGAGAACCAGGAAAGGGAACAGAGCAGAGTCAAGGTGATAAGCACAATGGCAAGGAGTGGCCAAGTAAACCCTTTTCATAGGGTGAAATTTAAATAGGCCTAAAAAAGTGAGTAACAAAACCTTGTTTAAATCTAGAAGAAGAGGTTTGAATTAAATGCTTAAGTCCCTGCATATAAGAGTTTGGCAGCCATGGTATATTCACTGTTCATTTCTTTAGAAGGAAAATTTAGGAAGAAAGGAAGGTGGTGTTCATTAATGGAGATTATCTTCTCATTGGCAGCCAAGTATTTTAATACACCTTAATATTCTTCTTAAGGATAAATTTTATCCAGTCAACTACAGTCAATTCATAAGTATATTGAATGAAATAGAGAATTTAAATTAATATTTCCTGGATGACTTAACTTTTTTTTTTCTCTCTCTCTCTCTCTTTTTTTTTTTTTACAAAGGAAAGGAAGATTTCTGTCTCTTCTTCTACCAAGGGACACTGAATTTCAATTTTTTAAACTTCATGAACCCATGTCATATAAATTTGCTAGTCCCAAATAACTACTTCAGTGTTATACTTTAAATTTGATATGATCAAAGCTTAGTAGCAAGTAAGGGTTTTGATGAAAAAAATGAGGTATTTAAATTCCTTTAAAGTTTTCTTGACTGAAATATTTTTTATTTCGTATGTCACAACATTTTCATTTTTATCATTTAAAACAGGAGCTGATAGGGGAAACACTTAGAATAATTCCATAATTTACTGTTTAGTTTCTAGATAGCATAGAATACTTTTCAAAGCAAATCACGGAGATCTGGTTTCTTCCTTTTGGGAAGATACATGCTAATAAAAACTACTTTGGTTATCAGACAAGGCGGAAAGCATAAGAGCAGAGCTCTACTTTTTGTCTCTTTACCTGAGGACATGCCCTTGGATTTTGGAGAGAGGGGAAGCAGGGAGAGAGAGGGAGAGAAACATCAGCGTGAGAAAGAAATGTCGATTGGTTGCCTCTCACACAGGCTCCTGTCATAGACCAAACTTGCAACCTAGGCATGTGCCCTGACCAGGGCTGGAACCCCCAGCCTTTTGGTTTATGGGATGGTGCTCCAGCCAGTTAAACCAGGGCAAGAGTCCCACTGTTAATAGTCTTCTCTTCATACAGGAACTAAGATCTTGACAGTGTGCACTTTGAGGTATGAAATAGTGGAAATTTTGCATTTTCAAAATTCATTTCTCAGCATATAAAGAAATTGAGTATTACGTTTTAGCATGAACCAGTATTACAAAATGGTGGGACTCACATGAGAAATAATTGGGTTGCTTAAAAGTCACTGATAACTGATAATTTTGGAGAAGCTTTGTAATAATAACATCCTTCTAAGAAAGGGAAAGATAATAAATTACTAAATCAGTTTAATTAAAAATTATCAGATTAGTAGTAATTAAGAAAAAATTTCCCTTTCAATCCATGCTGTCTTCGGAGAAATGGATGCTTGCCATTATCTTTTGTAACAGTCAGTTATGACATATATTAATGCTAATGTTAAATCTTGACAACTGCTTTGGAAGTTTGTACATGATAATTATAACTATAGTTGAAAGAGATATTATCAAGTTGTCTGGGACTAAATAGTTTCTTCTTTATCTGTGTAGGAATGTTAACTTTACTTTGGGATACTTTAAGGACATAATATCAGAAATACATTGTTTTTATAAAAGAGATTATATAACCAAGCTTTAATAGTTAAATCCATATATGAAACACTGGTGCAAAGATTCCAGTAGAGGTCTTACATATTCTAATGAGTAATTGAATAATTATGGGAAAAAAATGAATCTAGAAGACCTGTAACTCTTCAAGTTAATCTTCACTTGTAAGAAAAATGTCAAACTGCTTCTTTTAATCCTTTGAATATTAATGGAATATTGAAAGCATTTAGATTCATTTTAATTTTAAACATTTATTTGTAACAGATTGCAATTTTGTGACTTTCATATGTAGGTCAGTCTTTAGTTTTTGTAGTTCTTCCTTCCACCCCCAAATATTAGAACTAATTTCTGCGTAGGAGATGTTCCTTTTTGTGAAGAATTTAATTGACTAATTACTGAAAAGAAGTAGGACAGGTTTGGAAGAATTTACAGAGTTAAAAATTTCCTAACTTTTGTAAAAGTATGAAAACTCCTAAACTGTAATAGCCTTCATATCTCATAGATCAGGTGATTATGACATATATACTCCAAGCTGTTTGTAACATACTTGTTTTCATATAGCTAGATTTTTATTCCTTAGAATTTCTTTTTTTTTAAAAAAAAAGATACATGCCTGCAACCCAGGCATGTATCCTGACTGGGAATAGAACCTGCGACACTTTGGTTCACAGCTCGCGCTCAGTCCACTGAGTATTTATTTAATTTTAGAGAGGGGAAGGGAGGGAGAAAGAGAGGGAGAGAAACATCAGTATGTGGTTGTCTCTCACTCGCCCTCTAGTGGGGACCTGGCCCAGAACCCAGGCATGTGCCCTGACTGGAATTCAAACCCATGACCCTTTGGTTTGCAGGCCAGTACTCAATCTACTGAGCCACACCAGCCAGGGCTGGAGCCACTTATTAATGGATCTGCTATCTTTATCTTTTGGTTTACTACCTTATTTAAATGGAATTTATCTTTAAGAAACTTCCTTAGAAAGGGTACTTTCAAATCCTTATATTTTGAAATGTTCCTATTCTGTCCTCACATTTAATCTAAGCATTGGTCAAATTTAAAATTCTAGATTGAAAGTCATTCTTCCACAAATCAGTGATGGCATTGCTTCATGGTACTCTAGCATTTTGCTGATGAGAAGTTTGATGCTTTTTAACTGGCCCACTTTTTTCTTTCTGTTAACTTTTATGAATGCCTTTATGCTCACTGTACTAAAATGTTACCACAATGCATTGGACATCGATGGTTGCTTCCCCTGCACCCCTTCCACATTTTCCTGTTGAGTAACAGCATATTTCTGTCCTCTTTCCCTTAATGTTGGTTCAGGGATGGCATTAATCCAATTGAAAGCCAGTGACATCATGCATTCCCCTGGCCATAGTGATTGGATAAGGGATGGTTGTGTTAACCTACATTAGACCAAAATAGAATGCAGTCTAGAGTGGTGGGTGCTTGGCAGAAGATAAGCTCCTTTCTCCTATACAGAGGGCTGTGTGGATGTGAGGCCTAGAGCTGCTGTGCCTTTTTTTCCCGCCTTGAGGGAAGCAAACCTCATTTCAAATATGACACAAAAAATGGCAGAGCCAATAGAATTGCATTGTGAGGATAGCTCTGAGAAATGCTCTCCCTTTATTGGTTTATAATTTGCTCCTCTTGATTTTCTCTATTCCCTTTTTCTGGTATTCTCACTATCAGATATTAGACTGCCTAGAATGAAACTTCATGTCTCTTGTCTTTTTTCACATATTTTATTTTAGCTATCATATATTTAATAGCTAATAACTTGTTTATGAATTCTCTCTCTTTTTTTAAAATAACAACCTGCATTCTCTTTCTATGGTATAACATTCCCAATATCCTTTTTGAAATACAGAGTAGAGATTTTTAAACACGTTACATTCTCTGAAATACTAATGTCTTCTTTGTGGTCTTTTTACTTTGTTCTCTTTCATATGGTAGGGTTTTCTCAAATGTCTTGGTTGCTGACTGTGAAGACTTTTGGCTTTAGAATTTTTCAGCCTCATGTCTCACATTTGTTACACCTAGAGTTCAGGATAGTGTGGCCTGGTTGGTTTCTTTCTTGGCTTCCTTCTTTTCCATGCAAACAGTAGGTTATAGCTTTACTGTTGATTTATCAGTCATCATTCCTCCTTCATGTGCTTTCTGACTCATGAAATTAATTGAAATCCTTTTGTCCATTGTTGTCTTTCCTGCCTCTGGTTCTTTTTTTTTTTCTTTTGAGGTTATACCTTTGTTTTCATTTTAATGGAATCTTTTGATCCAGAATTCTGAGTTAATTTCATTCTGATGTAATTAATTTAATGTTCTTTGTTAAGTTACATATTCAATTTCATTCTTCCTGTTCTAATCTTTGATACCTCTCATATTCTTTTTCTGATTAGGTATGTTGGTATTGATAATTTTGAATTACTTAATGGACACTTGTGATTAGAATACAACGGTAAGTGAATAACTGCCTTTTGGAATAGAATATTTACGACTGATAGAAAGGTTTACCATTTTACTGTATAAAACAATTACCATTTTACTTTTTGTATTGGTTAGAATTCTTTTGATTACCAGGAACATGAAGTCGTATTCAACCTGGCTTAAATAAAATGAAGATTTCTTGAAGTAACCTAAATAAGTTTTGTTTCAAGTTAACTAGGTACAGAACACAAATTATATCATCAAAGTCCTACTCCTTTTCCATGTCCCTATTTCTATTTTTTTTTGCCTCTATTTTCTGTTGACTCTATTCTCAGTCAGGGCCTTTGTAGTTCAAAGATGGCTCCCAATGAGACTTGAGTAGGAAAAGCTCCCTCTTTAAATATCTCAGAGGACAA